GTTTTATCAGATTCATTGTAAGAAACTATTTCACCAATCCATAATATTGATGTGGAATGATAAAACGATGTTACGAAGGATATACTTGATCACGGGGGAGGTAATTAGAACATAGTCGTGACGTCACCCAATTATGACGTAGCTCAGAAAGTGTACTTTATCGCAGGACAAAGTACTGTCAACCCTTTTTATCGAATCAACTTATAAATTCTGCGTCTAAGATACCGTTTATCACAGTGCAGAGTTTCGTCCCTTAGGTGGGCCAGAAACCTATTCTGCTCATACATGGCGCCTAAGGCACCGTATCTCACTGTTTCGTCCCTTAGGTGCGTATGAAACCTATGATCGTGGGTTCAATTCTATTGTTTTAGGTTTATCAGCACCATACCCGTGCTCGTGGGTTTCACCAAAGTGGTAAACGTGTTGCGTCTGCATCACTTCGGGTTTCCTCCAACATCAAGCTGACACGCCGAGATATAACTAAAATACTGTTCAAAACGACGTTAAATCCAACTTCTAATCGAAGAGCAGGTTCACAGAAACTCAATGTGGCAGGCAAGAATGGGGACCGAGAGGTCACAATAACTACAATCCTTAAATAAGGCACTTGTGAATGATACAAAAATACATTTGCCTAACACAATTATACATAAGGTCAAATGGTGATGTGCGGTGTTCCTTATACGTAAATCGTCACGATATGGCTGAACTATTGCCGATGTGACGTAAAGCATAAACTCACTCACTCCCTTATACGTAAAACCGTATTACAGATGAACCCACAACATTAAACAGACCCGTCTGTTTGGGCGAGTTATTTGTAGGATGACTTAATTTGCTGAAGCAGGACCTTCGGGTTCTTCTTTTCCTTGTCCTTAATCCATTTTCCCTCTCTGATCAACCACTGGGTTATCAATAGTGACATTCCATTTGGCGCTATCCAAGGAGCAAGCCACACTGGAATCTCTACGTCCTAAATACCGACGCATTAGCATCCTAACCCTCAAGAAGTGCCTCAGGAGGTGTCATTTAATTGGATCTTGGTCCACTATGAGTACACGGCATTTCACGGGAAAGATAGGACTTCCTAGAAGTGCTGCCCTTTTGGCTCAACCACTGTACACACGTAGCCAGTCATTTCAGAGATCTTCATCATTATAAGATACAGCCAAACGTAAATACAAAGCTTAAAAATATCCCTTTAACTTTTATAGTTTACTGTATAATTTTTATCAACTATTTTGCGTGCAGTAAGACGGTGTGAATAACCTTAATGGTTTTATCATGTTAACATACTGTTCAAATTGATTTTGACTCAAATACAGTAAACACAACGAATCTATCCTCAGTGATCACGCGAGATCACGTGTACAACTGAAACTGTGGACAATATTTTATGTATATGTTTATTGTAAATGTAAAGATGTACAGTATGCCCCAATAAAGGTAATGTATATAGACAGGGTCAGGAACAGTTCTGTTTTGAATAAACTGCCACTCGATCCTACGAACGCCGCGATATAACTGGAATACTGTTAAAAGCGGCGTTAAACCCAACTCACTCACTCGATCCTACGATCCTGATCGTTCTGTTTTTACTACAGGGTTTTACTGCACATTTTCCTTCAATTAATACTGCTTCAAATACAGATATTAAATGACGTTTCAGTTACATTGTTGACAACAATTGAGTCATTTGTACACAAGCAACCTATGCTTGTCGTAAAAGGCGACAATGCTTGTGGTAAGAGGCGACTAACGGGATCGGGTGGTCAGGCTCGCTGACTGGGTTGATGCGTGTCATCGTATCCCAATTTCGTGATTGTGGCCACTAGTGATGTCGCCTACATGTCTGTAAATGGGGTACTACTGTAACAATACGTGTTACTCTGACCAACAGAGAAATTCATGTTTCACTTCATAGGGAATGTGCCGCCTCCGTGGTCTTGTGGTAGAGCGTCCGCCCGGAGAGCGGAAGGTCCGGGGTCATACCAAAAGACGTTAAAAGATGGTACTTGTTGTTACCCTGTCTGGCGCTCGACATTAAGGGGCTAAAACAAGGACTGGTCGGCTCGGAGTCAGTATACTGTGTCTGAGTGGGGTATTCATGTTAAACTGCGGCATGGTATCTCAGTGAGCTAGCACTATAAATCGGCATCAGTCCGGACTAGTACAAGCAGCCACACACACACACGTGCATGCACGTCGCTATATTAGTGCAATAATCTTGGACGCGACGTTAAACCCCATTTCACCTCACCTCATAGGGAATGTATAGTGTTTCACATGCACAGTAGAACAGAACAGTTTCATTAACACTAATATTCGTTTATAGTCTAGATGAGACGATTACTTGCATTTCAAAGTGTACATAATATTAATTAATTTAATAATTTCATGTTGGATAGTTTCCCCATACTTTCAAATTTAATAATGGCATCATCAATTATTCATCATCGTATAAGCTAGAAATCTACGACGGCAATCGTTCCCATCTCATTTCATGCATGTTGTATGTTTACATCAGTACGGTGACCCCTAAGGGACATGGAGTCTGTTTTTCCATATTTTGATATTTCACTTACATTTATCGTAACCTTTTGCAAATTAACACGATTTGTCTTACAAATATGTGATAAGTCATGTGTAAAGAAGATATTGAATCGCTGAAAAACGAAACGAAAATGTCAAAAACTAAAATGAAAATGGTTTTGGTTTTTGTCAATTCCATTTTAGTTTTTGACATTTTCGCTTCACATTTCAGCGACTCAATAGCTACTTGAAAGTCAGTTTCAATGTTTTCGGATGTTTTTATACATGATTTATCACATATTTTTATGGCAAATTGTGTTAATTTGCATAAGGTTACGATAAAAGAAAATGAAACATCAAAATATTGAAAAACAGACTCCATGTTCCTTATGGGCCACCGTACATCAGTAAACGAATTACATGCCTGAACACAGCCATGGGTGGCACAGCGGTCTGGGGCGTCGTAACGTCTTCAGTCGTGCCAGGATCCGCTGATCGTGGGTTCGAATAACAGCTTTCATCCTTTACATGACCCCTGCTCAGTCATCTCCACAAGCCTGTGTTTTACAACCTTGCCGAGAAAGTCTGTATGTGTGTGTTATTGTATAAAATACCTTTGTCACACGAGACAGTTTATACACGCATGTACGTGTAGTACATTTAGCAGTTTTCGGTTTTTGGCCACAAAGAATAATTCTTCATACTTTTAAAACTAAACAGTTTTAGTCTTTGAAAGGCATTTAGAAGTGATACACATGAGGAAGAGAATTTATGGATGTCAGCTTCTCTATTTTGAGGAACACAACGTTTCGGAGTATATGCTTACTCCTTCATCAATTCACCTGATGAAGGAGTAAGCATATACTCCGAAAAGTTGTGTTCCTCATAATAAAGAAGTTAACATCCATAAATTCTCTTCCTTAAACAGTTATAATTTCTCTTTGAACACGAATGCAAACGTAACTTTCTGTCCGCGATTGTTGTGCTGATGTATGTCCAGCATGTACATATTTCATAGGTTGTCATTCAGCCTTTGTCTGTGATTGTGTAAAGAATCTTTTTAGTGAAAAAAATCTTTCTTCATAAAGGAAATTTGTGTGATACAAATATATTAACTGTACCCTTATCATGGTATTACCCGTCATCCCGAGGCAAGAGTATCAATTGGCCTATACCACACCCTAGTTCTCACCCTGGCCATTTCAAGCCTACTTTTCTGTGCTAAAATGTGAGAGGACCATCGCACATATCGATAGTCCAATCAGAGAACGTTTTACAAAATCAACATTCAGGTTCCGAAAACGTGTTCGCGACTATGGCTACAGCCATCGCCTGTCGAATTTGCGCTGAATATATTCGAAAATTAAACGGAGACAAACATTTACGAAGTGGCTTCAAGTTTTCAATCAACTCACCCAAGTACATTTATATATTGAATGCAGACTTCATTTGGTTTTTTTTTAACCCGAACGACAGAACACTTTTCGCTGTGACTGAGATGCAGTGCTATTTTTAGGCGTCCACTGCTGATGTCTCATGTTACCGCGATGTGCAGTCTCACTCGTACTGTGTAGTCTGTGTGCCGCTATTATTGTAAGAGCGAAATGCGGCAGTAATAAGTATCTTTACTGTGGTAATCTGTCATTTTGTTTGTCTGTCAGGGATGAAATCTCGAATCTTTTCGTTCGGTCGTCTGCTGTGGTGGCTTGAAATGGCAAGGGTGGGAATTAGGCATTGATGTCGGCGAGTGGACACTCATGCCTCGGGAAGATAGGTATCCCAAAACATACATAATTATCTGTTTAAAGAAATACGGAGGCTTAGATTCCGCCGAACATACACGATTGGTTTTTGCCTGATTATCCAAATGAATTGGGAAATAGGGATCCTGCCTCTAAGACTTTTGGAATCAACTCCAGCTCAACCAAGCACAGCTTAAGGCAAATCGAATTTTTGTCTTAATTAGAGAATATCAATCATGAGACGAAAATGGAGAGGAGAAGGTTGGTGACATCTTTGGTAGTAGAGGATGATACTATATTTAAGTGTAAGAGACTGTGACCCTCGGTAACGACAACAGGCAAGGGTTTACCCCAACAAAGCCACCGATGTGAGATGTGGTTGATCTGGTGCTATTTGTGGAGCACGTACGTCAGGCCGATATTCTGGTTACAGCGAGAGATGCAGGAACAGTGGACTATAATCACAGCGCAAAGACATCCATATTGTCAAAATATGAAGAACTATTTTTGAACTGATCTAGTGTTATTGTAAGTCTTCTAAGTAGGAAGGTTCAATGTGATCTAAGTTAAGTATGTACTTATATCAACTCGAAAAGATAATTCAGCTCGCTGAATATCTTTGACAAAGAGAGGTAAGAAGAGTTACAAATATGGCACATTTTAATAACCCTCTTTTAACACGCCCACTTATATTGTCAAACATTCAATGTGCTATTTTTTTTTCAGGTCCGGGAAGTTGAAAAGGTACGACGACAATACCTGCAGGAGAAGATTAATAAGTAAGCCAATCTTTTGTTGATTTCACAAACATTTTAAAAGTTTACAATGTATGGATATGCTAATCTGGAGAATGAAAAGCAACTGGATAAAAATATAAGCCCTGGAGGATGCCCATTGTACTGGTCCCTTCAATAATTATACGTTCAGCTTCTATGGTTATTTGTTCCCGTGCTAGATTCTGAGTGTGCACCGTGCTGATTGGGTGTTGCAGTAATGATTCCGTGACAGACACAAGCAATTAGATGCAGTGTAAATGTCAGACAGAATAGACATATCGTCACGGCTCTATGACAAATAACGAACAATAAGTCGACGGGCAGGTAAAACATAACAAACGCCCTCAAGCCTTTCCTTTACCATAGGTCCCTGGGTGAGGCTTAGTTTCTTTCCTGGACAAAAAATGCATATGCTTCACTTGATTACATTCATATCTGCTTGTGTTTCCCTGGGGAACGTTTACAGCTGCATGTGTTTCCATGGTGAAGTATACAGCTGCATATGGGTCCCTAGTAAAGCTTACAGCTGTATGTGTTACCCTGGTAACGTATACCGCTGCATGTTCTTCCTTGGTAACGTTTACAGCAGCATGTGTTTCCTTGAGTTACTAAGGGCTGAATATGTTTCCTTGGTTTCCTGGGTTACGCTGACCGATGCACATGTTGCCCTGGGTTACGCTGACCGATGCATATTTACCCTGACTTACGCTGACCGATGCACATGTTGCTCTGGGTTACGCTGACCATGCACATGTTGCCCTGGGTTACGCTGGCCGCTGAGTATTTTGCACTGGATTATGCTGCAAATGTTGCCATGAGTTACGATATACGCTGCATGTGATTCCATGAAAGCTCCGAAAGCGTACATCGTGAAATCCGTTTGATTCTAAACAAAGGTAGGGATAATTCTAGCAATCTATTTTTGAACAACACCAGGATGAAAGTTCCCTGGGCTACACATCATTGATGCGGATTACCAACTTACCATCCTGGCTCCTCTGAGGCCATAGTTTCTGCTATGTTGCATGTTTGGACATTTAGCGGTGATTGGTTTTTCGTCTGATTTGTTTTAGTTATAAATTGTGTAAACCAATTTTCAAATTGTCCATTTTCAGGAAAATTATAGCATTTGAAGTTTTGATCTATAAGAGCATTAATCAATAAATGGACCATCGCCTTTGCCGTCTACGGGGATATGATCAGTTTCTTATGATGAGGCGTTCCACTTTGATATTTGAGCTCTTTTGGACCCTACCATATTAAACACCCTATTCACAGCCTGTAATCAAATGCTCCCACGATCACAGCTTAATTAAAGCCACAAAAGCCGTCAGTACGGGCTTATTCAAATCAAACGGATTATGTCCATTTCACAATTCACATGTTTAACGACATTCCACATCATTGCTCTAAACGAACATGCCATGCCCTTCCCCATCCCTGTACGTCTCAGGGGATGCCCCTGGTTCTAGCGGCAGTCTCACGATGTACAGGTGGACAAAGAGGCGAACAGCCTGTGACAAACACTGTTAGGTTTTCATTATGTCTGTCCAATTTTTTCTCTTCAACACGCAATTTCCTCCTCATAGGTGTGAACTCAGTAGTGTCAATTAGGGAAGTGACTGCAAACCTTCTGAAAAAGATAGATTGGATTCTTTGGCAATTTCTAGTACTGACATGAAGGCTGAACACCCGTGTCAAGGATGCTGTGGCTAATTTATGGTGAAGGCCAGATGTGGTTTGTCACTGAATATTCAATCACTTCATGTCATCGTCGTTGATCGTTGTTCACACAATCGCGTAAATCAAGTTCATGTTACAAGATTAAAGGGACGACGGGATACCCTGGATGAATCACAAGGTCCAGGTTCTATTCACCACAAGGGTACTATGGATGAAACTTATTTCTGGAATATTGCTAAAAGCGGCGTTAACAAATAATCACTCTCCCTCTAACGATTAGTCATGATGACATATTCCGCTGGTCTAGATAAGATATGATTCAATACAAGTTTAGACCTGTGAAGATCAGGGTAAGAATAGGTCTTTTGCAACCCATGCTTGTCGTAATAGGCGACTCTGCTTTTCATAAAAGGCGACTAACGGGATCTGGTGGTAAGGCTTGCTGACTTGGTTGATGCTTGTCAAAGTATCCCAATTTCGTGGCTCGATGTTCATGATATTAATCATTTGATTGTCTGATCCAGACTCGATTATCTACAGACAGCAGTCACATAGCTGGAATATTGCTGAGTGCGGCGTTAAACAACAAACAAGAAACAAACAGTACATGTTTAACTTTCTGAATTAGTAGCACAAAGTCCGGGCTTATACAATTAACGTTTCACATAGGGATTTCGGGTTAGAAAACACGTGCTGACCTGACAATTGACACCGTATGACTATGTATGACGTCCGCCCACTGGCGCGTACCATTGTGAAGAAAGGGGAAGCGGGTGGTCCGCGACAAGTATTACGATGGATATGCGCGACAACGAGTTCTAGTGGCGAGTTCAATAGCACATAATGGTACTTGCTGATGTGAGGTCTATGTAACTTACCCGATGTCTATGTAAACGGTGACAGCCAACTAAGAAGTATGGTGACAGGGAATTCATTGACTGTAAAAATGGAATACTATTTTTTTTACCCCAGAGAGCAATAATGAATAGTGTCATGTCATTCATCAAATGATTGTGAAGGTTGAGACCGTAACGTAGTGATAGTTGATTCAATGACATAGCTCAACTATGACAAGCGAGCGTAACATCGGTGTGTGACAACTTGACAACCCCAGACATAAACAGCTGCCATACAAATTGGGCTGATACTCCTAAAGATGGATGTTTTATTTATCAACGGTTGCGCTGATGCAAATTGAAGGGGTCATTCCTTATGACCTTCCCACACGTCCCGAAGTAGATAACCGTGTTGACATGTCACTTCAGAAACTGGATATTATTCCGTCATTTAAGTTTACTAATTTCACATGGACTAAATTTACCGCAAGGACTATGTATCAAGTTTCTTCTAGTCAAACATATTTAATAAAAAACAGTCCGTAATGCTCACTGAGTTCTTCACACTTTGGTTATATAACGCATCAGTGGTTTGGAGGTGAGTGTGAGATTGAATGCTACACTACAATCGCCAAGGCTACTGAGGGGCTGAAGGTAGCCCAGTGGTAAAAGCGTTCGCTCGTCACGCCGAAGGTTCTTGTTTGATTCCCCACATGGAGTGAGGCCTATTTCTGGTGTCCCCCGTCGTAATATTGCGGGAACATTCCTAAAAACGGCATAAAAGCCAACTTCATCGCTCACTTCAGGGTACTTGGGTGGTTATAAAATGGTTATCGACTCCTTGATAACCCGTGTTTTCGCTACAATGTGTGAAGCCCGGTCTTGGTGACTCTCCCGTGATAATTTTAGAATATTGCTTAAAACGACAGGGTTACTCATTCAGTTTTCCACTCGTCTATGAAAGACTAGACGGAACCCAGTTGAGTGAATTTGACATTCAGAAAGTGAAATTTTATCGTATGTAACATTAAACTAGCTCTACTTTAATAAACACCTATTGAATAAACCAGAAATACCTGCCATTATCAATTCGTTCATGTCACTCTCGGTGATGATTGTGGGTTCGAATCCCGGTTCGCCCCGATTATGTGCTAGGTTTGTCAGCAACATTCCCGTGCTCATGGGTTTCACCGAAGTGTTAAACCTCTTGAGACCTGCATCACTTCAGACTTTCCTCCAACATCAAGCTGACACTCCGTGATATAACTGGAATCCTGTTCAAAGCGGCTTTAAACCCAACTCACTCACTAAAAGTGGTACACGAATCCGATCGCTTTATGGTTTCCATCAACATTAACGTTTTAAGATGTCTGCTGGAATGAACATGTGTTTTTTAAAAGAACTCAAAATTCGCGTAACCTTCATACAAGATATTTACGGTACAATGAAATTTGATGTCACTGTATATCTGATCCTTTTTCATTATTCGCTAAATTAAAACTGAATAAACATGTTGGACATTTTCTGAAAGTGCAGTCGAAGATTGCGCAATGCTGTTGAGTCGTAGGTTTGAATAGATATAACATTACTAAGATAATTGATTTATCAGAACTAGATGTATTCTCTTAGATTTCACCAACTTACCTCCCACATTAGGCAGACAAGACGTATGGTTAACTAATATAAATAATAAGCGGCTTTAAACTCATCCACTCACATGGCAGTATGTACAGACACAATTTGTTTTTAAGAAGACGTTGAGTGTTGAGTGTCTTTTGGATTATATCGTGTTTGTCATCAGTGTTTTGGACAATGTTACTATAATAATCAGTAAGGTAACCTGGACCCCGTTTCAGAAAGTGGCCTGTCCCAGCTTCCATACTTTCACACAGACTTACGTAGTATTAGTTATTTGTGTGGAGCAAAGCCCTGTTTCTAAGGATCTGGTATGCCTGTAAAATACTACTCTGCGCACTTGGTTGCAGCTGGTGAGGAACACTGGACTAAAGTTCTGCAGGTAAATGCCAATTCATCCAACTCCAGGCACCTCCGATGTCGGGGGTGCTCACGTTCCCCGTCTCCGCGGCCTGGGGGCCCCATTCCCAGGCACCCCAGTCCTTCTCCCCGACATCACAGTGCCTGTCCCAACAGTCCACCAAGGGACCGCAAGAGACGTTCAAAGAGCCTTGGCAGGACGGGTGACGGTTTATTTCACAATCTTACAAATAGGTTCCGTCAGTGGATTCAATCTAAGCGGAAATACGAGATCTCTCCAACAGATTGTATGCAAGCAGATGACAGGTATGTGTGGAACAAGGAGCAGGTCTTTGAGGAGGACGTGGCTCTGAGATCGTACAGATCTAGCTTCCACGATCAGAATGTGCCTAACAATGAATTTAATTCCGTCCAGGACAACCAAACGGCAAATCTAGCATATAGCAAAGGAAAGACTGTGGTTCAAATCACATACTCTGACGCAAAATCAGATCATGATGCCGACGACGCCGGCGACCCTCCCGCAGACGTTCCTCATTTGCTGAAGCCTCCGGATATTTCTGGTCGCCAGTTGCTCCGAGCCTCACGGTATAAACATAGAGAAAAACAGCTAAACTCGGCTGGCCCTGGGTGTCGCCAGCCGCTCACAGGCACCATCAGCTGCCCGCCCAAACAAGGCCCGGAACCGAATGACGTCTCCCCAAGGTTTAGACGTCGATGTGCCACGTGGCCAGTCCAGGGGAGAAAGGTCAACTCTGAGGGTAAGAATGAAGAATTGGAATGGTCAAGACAAACAGTCGTCTTCATTACCATGTATTGTTTGTAAGTTACGAAGTGGTTTTCGAATAACATTTGTCTTCCATCTCTGATTTTTTTCAGTGTGTAGGACCACAACTAGCTCCCCTTCCCGAGTCCAGTTTCAACCTTGCCGAACTAGGCTGTTATGTCTGGGCTCGATCGTAGCGCTACCAGTGGCTATTACGCGTTATGTTCCTTCTATGGACCTCCTATTTAGCAGTCAAATTCCACCTGTCCTCTCACTTGCATTTACTTCAAGCAAAACGAGGGTGCCCATTCAAGACGATCTCATCGATGATCAAGATCTATTTTGTAATAAAACTCAAAGTGCATCAAATCTTGCAAGCACCTTGTGTCGATTTCGATACGCATTTTTTATTGGACTGTGCATAGACTATATGTCTAATATATAACTCCAGCCTAGTTCAGCAAGGGTGGATACTGGACTCTTACAGTCAGTTAACAGTTGTGGGCAAGGGCCTGTCGCCGATTATTATCATAGGTATGTCAAAACCAAACCGTGACTTGTGGGATTGCAGGACTGTTGTTGTGTAATGCATATCGATGATCAGTGTCATTTAGCTGACCGTCGCTATATGTTGAAAATATCAAATCGCTCACTTTCAATGTGCGGTAGATGTCACATTTGTAATGATTGCAGAAAGGTTCTTAAGTTTAGTTTTGAATTGTACTTTTGAATAGTATAAAGTGTGCTGATTCTTTTATATTCAGATGCTGACAATGAAGATCTGGATGTTTCTTTCCTACACGACAGTGTGTTTGGGAGGTAGGGTCTATGTGTATGTTCTCGCGTAGTGTCTTCAGAGAACAGTCTCCCTGGTCTAGTGGGTAGAGCGTCTGCCCGGAGAGCGGGTTAATGTTCGATCCCCACCACGTCACACCAAAGGCATTAGAATATGGTACTTGTTGATACCCTGCCTGGAGCAAGTTAGGGAATAAATCAAGGACTGGTCGGCTCGGAGTCAGTATTTTGTGTCTGATTGGGGTGTCTGTGTTGAACTGCGGCATGGTGTCTAGTGAGTTAAGACTATGAAACCGGCGTAAGACCTGAATAGCACGTACACGCACACGCACACGCACACGCACACACACACATACACACACACACACAAACACATATTTGAAAAGAATGCATGTTCTGCATTTTTCAGGACCGTTCTTGATGGCAAGATGTCGATTGAAGATTTCAGTATTCCTTACGAAGATGTAAGCGTCACCGACTGTGTGAGGGTTGGAAGGAGATGTACAATTCACAGGTGAGAGAGGGTCAGACTGTTGCTATACTTGGGGAGGGCTGCACACATGTTGAAGAAGGTGCTATGTAACGGTGCTGGGGAGTTGACGGTTGAATTATTATATAGTGAGTGAGATGACGAATGTTGCATAAAGGTGACATAGGAAGGTTTGTGTTCGCTCATCACAGCGGAGACGTATTGTTTGGCGCAGTGAGGGCTTGCATCGATGTTAGAGAGAAGTGAGCTGTGTTGCAATTGGGAGAATCAGGGTGCAACCTATTAACATGTGGATCAGTTATTAGGTGAGAGAGAACAACGAACGGTACGGCGACTTGGTGAACACTGTACTCACCAAAAAGGTAAATACTTGTCTTGACCGCATTGAGTGCAATAAAACAGTCAATCAGAATTATTAAATGCTCTTGGTTAGACGACATGCATGGGTACTGGCAACTGCATCAAAATTCCAACCGAATGATAAGCATTATGTACTAGGAACGTAGTATACCCTGGAATCTCAGCACGTATTAAGTACCGGAAGGTTCTGTTATAAAGATTCGGTGTCCCCAACTGTGATATTGCTGAAATGTTGTTAAAAGCGGCGTGGGGCACATTTAGGGAAGGGTTCTTTCAGGTTCTAGCAATGTTCGTAGGTTAGGAACTATGGAGGATGTAGCGATTAGTGTAGATGGTTTCTTTGTGTGTTATCTAATTAGTATGTAAAGACGGTAGCAGTTGTTAAAAGGTAGCGGTATGGCAGTTTACACATTACTCCTTTTAGATGCAGCCCCATTTTACAAAAAAGCCCCAGCACTCTATAGCTTGTCACAAGTGACCGACCAGTTGACCTTATCGAAAAATTTTTTTTGTCTTAAATTGCTTGAAAAAAAAAATAATGCTTCAGACTGTTGAAGGAACATCTAGATTGTCAACAGTGTTGTAAGATTAATTAACCCTTTAAAAAAGTCTGTTTTTAGGAAATAGCACATCGAGCCTCCATACAAAACCCCACGATATCACATGGTTAGACCCGTATAGTAGAGGCGACTATATTTGTCTGTATTGGATGGGGTGGGAAGGCTCTGTAACCTGGTTGATCGCGTGTGATCATGGGACGTTACTTGTTCGTTTGTAATTCAGCGACTGGTTTTATTACTTCATTATTTACATGCTGTTGTGATACTGCTGGTATATGTCTCACTCTCGCGTTAAACAGCAAACAAAGTGTCTTCTTTGCAGGGGACGTTGGCATGGTGAAGTGACAATCCATCTTTTCGGTGACAAGAAAGGTGACGAAACTGACGTCTTCTGGTCCGATCTGACGAAGCTGTGTCGAATACGTCATGAAAATATCAACCTGTTCATGGGGGCTTGTACTCTACCTCCAAATAGGGCCGTCATCACCAGGTGAGGGGCAAGTGTATGAACAAATATTTGACAAAAAATCACCAACAACTTTATTGATAGAAAAAGGGTTAGGAATTGTAGAAGAGTCAAAGAGTCGAGGAAACTCCATTCCAAAAAATGAAAATTATTGGCCCATCCTTTCCATACCTGTCATGATATATATTGGATATCATCACAGTGTGATGCATCAATGAAGTCCGATACAATTCCCTATTTTGACTTGCCTTTGCATGTGTTTGACATGTGCCACCGGTGGGGCAGGATACGCTCCTGGTATCATCACAATTTGATAGTGAATCATAGATTCATAGTAGGAATGATACTCCCACACGAGGTACGATGGTGCGCAATCAACCAAGTTCCCGAGTCTGGCCTCTTACGAGAAACAAAAGCTACACGGGAATCCCCGTGGGGTTTGAATAGGCGGGTCGGGTTGGCTTGTGGTTAAAGCGATAGCTCGTCACGCCGGAGACCCAGACATGTCGATTCACGTCGGTTACAGTATCATGTAGCGCAACCAACTCGCTAAGATACTATTTCATGGATTGCAGTTGCTGCAGTTTTCTACCATTAGTGGCGGAAACAAAGATGCAACCTCAACTCAACACCTCAGCTCACAATAACCAGCAACACCGAACTTTACATTCCTTAGCTTGGCCCCACAATGCACTTGTGCCATGTTTCAAGTCACGTGATTAATTTGATGCACATTACTATAAAATCCTAAATTTAGAAATACTATATATTACTGCACTGGATCTTGGATAACCGCACACTGAACGGAAAATGAATATGACGGGTGCAATCAAATAAGAACCCTGTCAGTTCAATTTACGTCACATGTCATTACGGATTTTATTTTAAACCCAGCTCCAATAAAACATAATCAAATTTGGCATCTTAAAAAAGAAATAAAGTTTGCGCTAACCCAAATGTATAGTGTAATGAAGTATAGTTTTTCTTTTAAATTATACCCACGTAAGAATCGAACCCTGACATACTCGGCGTCACGAGCGGCTGCTTTTACCTCTTGGCCTCCGTAGTTGTTTGAAAGACAATTAGGAGATAAACAAACTGTGTTTTCAATGTAGAGCTAGATTACCTGTAGATTAAACCGCGCTAAATTGAATTTGGAACCGAACGCGTCCGAATGAACGGTTACTGGTATTCTGTTGAGCTCCCAGCTTTCACAACGACTTGTGACGGGTAGTTTTGTTTCACTAACACCCAGATGTCCTGCATTGATTTGTTCTCTGAACGACAATACTTGATTATGTTTATGTACTATTTAGTCGAGTCGTAACTATCTGTTCGGGAGAAGATTTGCCAGCACCATTAATTATCTGAGATTACCAGGGGTTAGTCTCTAACATTCTGGGCAAACAAAACGGAAATGGTATTGCGATTTACGATCCATCATCACAAACACGAATGGTTAAATTTCTTATGCCTGCAATATTGATGTTGTTTGTTCTGTTCTCGTTGTGCTGAAAGGTGAACGCTTCCAGTTTGGCGTTGTCGGTATTGAAATCATCTTTATAAGTGATAAAATAGCCCTCGGGCTTGGAGTAGATAATGGGTTGTTAGAGATACCAAACTTTCAGGCAAACATTATTTGACTTCAGTTAACTAACGATTCAGAAGCTAGATACGTTTACATATGTTTTGGGATGTCTTTACAAATCGAAAAACGTCAATATGCTTCCTAAACCGTCTTTGTGCACACAACAACTTATTATCGATGTTTATCGAACGAGACCGTAGAAATGTAAGGGTGTGTGGTCGGGTTGGGTTAGGTTGTGGTCTTGAGATGGCGTTGTTGTTGGTGGTGGTGTGTGTGTGGGTGTGTATGTGTGTGTGGCGGTGGTGTGAGGGTGGGGTGTGCTTGTGGCCGTTGTGTGAGTGTGGGTGTGTAGGTGGGGGGTGTTGTGGATATACTTTTTGGCACTCATCTAATGTAGCTTTGGGTTGCTTGAACGTACCAGGATTTGTAATGATTATGACTCCTGGTTTGTCAGCACCACACCATACTCCTGGGTTTTACAAAAGTGCTTAACGTCTCTGTCCTCCTACGTTTAATTTATAGCGTAATACCATTTAAAGATGATTTAAAAACAAATGTTACTCATCATTGTCCAGAGTGTTTAATAAAACGACATTATGTTGCAAATACAGATCTCGCCCACTTACTGCGCTATATTGTATTTACCAAAATAATTTGATTCATTTCCGTCTCATCATTGTTGTCATCCTACCCACGGAATGCCCTGCTCTGTGCGGAAATGAGACTACGGCAATCAGCGCTGATGCAGGAATCGTAATTAGATATATGTGACAAACTCGAGCCATGGCTAATGGCGGATTCTCCATACGGCAATGAAGCCATTTATTTGGGAATAACCTGAATTTGACATGAAGAGCCCTCGATTTGACATGACGATTTGGATAATGAAGGTAGTATTGTATGATTAAGCTGTCCAGAGCACTGGCCTTGTTATTTGTCCTGTGTGCTGCAGTTCATATTGCCCTGATCCACCACAATGGCTCGCGGCCTGTATCATACATATTCAAGTGTAATAATAATTATGGCCAAAAATGTTTCTCGTTTCTTCATTAAGAAATGGGAAGGATGGCCGATATGTTTTGTTTTCATTAGATTTCCCAACCACTGCAAACTAAACTCCAGGAGAACGGAAGGTCGGAGGTTTGAACATCCTGGCCTCCTTATACCGAAAAACAAAATATGGCACTTGTTGTTTCCCTGTCTGGCACTAAAGGGAGAAACAAGGACTAACGTTAACCCCATTTCACCTCACCTACACCAAGAAAGTACCAAAACGCACATCTTTGCAAGTTACATCACGGAGGCCTGTTATTGCTAAAATGCCGAACAAATGTATTTTGTCCTATCTTATTTTTGATATATTGAAACTCTCTGAAATACTGAAATTGCTCTCTGGGTCGACGGGTTACCTAATGTTCAAAGCGTCCGCTCGTCCTGTGAAGGACTGGGTCCAATTCCCCACAATAATATAATAGTGGACCCCCTATTCTAATGTCTGGTTTTTGGCGTTGATGGTTGCTTATGCCTTCAGTCACAGCTTAGCCTGGTCCAGACTCGAGAGGACGGCGGGGTAGCCTAGTGGTTAAAGCGTCAGTCACTCAATATGTTCCTGAACCTTTAACCAAATAACACTCCAGCAAGCTGGCCACACGTGGGAATATGTGTATAGGTATCCTGGCGTGTGGCCGTGCCGTCCACTCTGTATATGTTATATAATTGAACGTGTATTCAACTAAAGTCAGTGCTTCAGCAAATACGATTACATGTTCTGGAATATTTTCAGCATACAATACATTTTGAACCAGATGACTCCAAGGCACTACTTTCAGCTTATCAGTTCAAGCGCCGTCAAACAAGCTGTTCGACAATGCATTTTTATACTCGATCCAACAAAAACATTTTAGATCCAGTAGCAATGTCCAGTGAAACATAATCAATAAGAAATAGGGACTGAAAATATTTGTCGATCATACACTTCGCAAAGAGGCTGTCTGAAAAGAAACATGAGTGGAAAATAAAAGTAAGGAAATGCGCATTTAAAGGTTTTTCTTTTAAAAAGAAAATGTCGTTTTGTCTGGAATCGTCTTACAGGAAACGTGTCAAACTTGCTCCTTTGTTGGTGTATTGATTGTGAGTTGTAGGTCTACTTGAGCAAAACATAGAAGTGCAACTGTTTGTTTTGCTGTCGTAGACATTAAGCATTTTTATTTTCTAACTGTATTCGTGATAGAAATAGGCATCACGGGAAAATAGCGTTTGTCTCCAAGGTGATGTGTGTTGCATTACGCTGGACTGGGATATGCAAATGGACGCTAGCATCCGTCCTACCGAAATCGCCGTTTGCTGTATAAACTGTTTTCTGAATTGTTCATTTAGACTTTCAAAAATGAATTAACAGATAATATTGCATCAATTGTCACCATTGTTGCTTTCTGAAATCAGCACTAACACGTTGCGTCATGTTGCAATCAGGATAAAAGTAAAATCTAATAAACCTACAGACACTGTAATGAAATCTTGCATTGCTTTGAAATGCACCTAGTGGTAGATATTATGAAAATCTAATCTAGCACTAAACGGCGGTAGCGAGAACTAAGATCTGATTTCAATGAGATTGTAAATAAATATTTGCTGAAAGCAGAGTCTATTGTACAATTCCTACAATAACATAGGGATATGAATCACTCTCAAATAGTGATGAAACCAGGTGTTCCCGAGACGCTGAGCGTATCCTGCCCACAGGTGGCACCGTCACAAACACATGCAAAGGCAAATCATGTGCTCACCTGAAACAACACAGGAATATATGGTACAAGTCAAAATTGGGAGTTGCATCGGACACAATTAGGTCACTGATGCGTCAACTGAGGAAATGTCCTCCACATGTCTACGATCGAACTTTCTTAAAGCTTTTACTGCGGCCTTGAATGTTGCACACCGTTGAGTCGTATGACGCTGTTTGAAAGAATCTTCTTGTGGATAGAATATTTTCACTCTGCTTCTTTGTGCAAATATCGAAATATGAAACTGTCCCTTTCATTTCTGGCTCAGGTGGGTAAATCAGTGGAAGGGAATTAGCTATTTGACAGTTATTGATACATCAGAACTTCGATATACCTGACGCGTAAGTAAACTTCTTAGAACGAACACCTATTATGTTATAACATTGACTTTTTGTGAATAAGAAGTTTAATGAAGTGTAATTAAATTATCAGTACTAAAAAGAGGTCGCATTTGCATATGTCTAAAAAAAATTTCAGATTACGTTGAAAATATCATGAGATCATAAGCTCCTTTGTTGTTAAACGGCGCACTCAGAAATATCCCTGTTATATGGCGGCTACCTGTAAATAATCGAGTCTGGCCCAGACAATCCAGTGATTCATATTGTGAGCAGTAATCAACGTCGTCACGGTACGATGACCAACGATGAATCGATATACCTGAAGTTTCTTGGCTAAATAAGGCCATCTTATCTCCTGGACCGCCTCCGTGGTCTATTGGTAGAGCGTCCGCCTGGAGAGCGGAAGGTCCGGGGTTCTATCTCCGGCCGCGTCACACCAAAAGACGTTAAAACATGGTACTTCTTGTTACCCTTTGTGGCGCTCGGCATAGGGGGCTTAAACAAGCACTGGTCGGCTCGGAGTCAGTATACTGTGTCTGAGTGAGGTATCCATGTTTAACTGCGGCATGGTATCTCACTGGCTAGCACTATAAATCGGCATCAGTCCCGACTAGAACAAGCAATGAGCCAGCCACCCTCCCCCCCCCCCGAACACACAAACGTTAATGCAAGTCGCTATGTAAGTCTCCTGGATAGATGACACGTCTTGCATTCTTTATGTTTAATAAGAATATTTGATTAAGATTAGCAACAGACTTTTGTTCACAGCCAAACTTTACAGTTTAGCCTTGACTTACATACGGAGCTGAGAGACTAACGATTTTGATCTTCCCTTCCAGTGCCCCTGCCGGTTTGTCACTGTATGAGAACATTCACTGCAAGAAGGAGAAACTAAACATTCACAGTCAACTCCAGATACTGAGGCAGGTGGCAGTGGGCATGGGCTACCTCCACGCCAAGGGCATTGTTCTACGAAAACTTAACACCAAGAACGTCTTCCTTGCACCCAAGGTGAAGATCAGCGCCATGGACTATGGCTTTGCAGAGTCCAAATATGACAGGTGAATAGGTCCCCAGCACAGTATATATATTATATAATAATAGTATATAAGGAAACTGTTAAATAATAATTAATAAATAATAGGTACTTTGGGAACTCCTAGAAATATTAATGACACTGTAGCACACTATTCACTTTTGAGTAACATTTTAGAGTGATTTACGCCGAAATTCACAATAAATTCACATTCAGCAACAAATAGTTTTTTTTATTCATACGCCTGTCTACACCCTAAAGCGGTGACCTATTTATCTAGGAATCCAATACTGCAGTATGGTGAAATTTTTGTACAAGGACACAATACTGTATAGCGGTGGTCTATTTGTCCAAGGACATAATACTGTATAACGGTTGTCTATTTGTACAAGGACACAATACTATATAGCGGTAGTCTATTTGTACAAGGACACAATACTATATAGCGGTGGTCTATTTGTACAAGGACACAATACCGTATAACGGTGGTCTATTTGTCCTAGGACACAATACCGTATAACGGTGGTCTATTTGTAAAAGGACACAATCCTGTATAACGGTTGTCTATTTGTACAAAGACACAATACTGTATAGCGGTAGTCTATTTGTCCTAGGGCACAATACCGTATAACGGTGGTCTATTTGTCCTAGGACACAATACTGAATCGCAGTGATCTTTTTCTATTTGTCATTGGACAAACTGTAGCACAGTGATTTATTTTCCTTGGACGGAATCCCGCGGCGCGTTGTCCAATTTGTGCTTGGACACAATACTGTTCTGCTTGTCCTTGGACAACGTCTAGAATGATGCTGTTCCAATCGTTTTAGGACAATACTGTAACGTAGTGACATCTGATCAAAGCCAATCTTTGGTACATGTCTTATTGCTCTGACGGTAATAGTGTATTGTCTTGAATCATCAGCTTATCTTTTGTACTTATAATTTCTATTTATGTTCACAGAATTAATCATTCTTCAATACCTCGAGGGCATATGACCTATGTGGCTCCCGAAATCCTTTGCACGATGGTGACACTACCTCCTCGTTTCGTCACATCATCGCCGTACACAAACGAGGCGGATGTATATGCTTTTGGGTAAGTATTGGAACCAAATAATGAAAAGAATTGGATTTGTCAAAATATAATTTCTGCTCAATTCTTGGTGAAGTAAAGGTGATAAATGGCAGAGGTTTGATATTCACTCTGCAACATGCTCATCAGACTGATTGCCGTATATACTTTGTAGTTTTCACTATTAGTTGAGGAAAAGGGAGGCATAGTGTTGAGGCGAGGGTCAGAACAGCGCTCTAAATTGAACCGGGTTTATTCCGTGTCACCATACCCAGGCGGCGTGGAAAGCAGCTCATTATAAGTAATCTCAGCTTCAAGTTTGTCTGACCGAAACTACAGGCTACAGTGCGGCATACAACCAAACTGACTGACGTGGCCGATTTTGGAATTCATTGGATTGGAATAATCAATTAGTATTAAGAAATATTAAGAAATTGATTATTGAGACTTTGCATACTAATACTTAGCAGTCAACGCTCCAAGAAATAGAAATCTTAGGGACGTGTATCTCCTTATTTTTATAACATCCAGCATGTCCAGTAGAACGATTTATATTTCAAATTTTCGGGAACAGGATTATTTCAACAACAAAAAATCCGAGCACCCTTCCCTCCGCCACCTCCAACCCAGAATATCCAATGCTCGGCCCTTAGCGTACGTTAACGTTGTGAAGAGCAATCATAAGACAGCTGCCATTGCATGATGTCTCCGATGCTTGTAGGACTAGCTTTAATGGCCCTTGTCAGGTGGACATTATGTAACACAATCAATTTCTTGACGTTTTGCAGTCATCAGTTAATTACGTTTTTTTCTATGACAGTTGAATAAAGCGCTGGCGTTTTTGTGTGTAGTTTGTAGTTTCTCAACATCAGCTCCTCCTTGACGTTTTCACATGTTAAACATTTCTCTCCAGGTAATGTGATTCCGGAGAGACTTTCTAGTGTTTGTACAGTTTCTCGACTACGGTCTGAGCGCGGTATTGATTGCGACTCCCTTGTTGTCGAGAGGCAGTGTTACACAATCTTGGTCTGTGAAAAACATATGTTTTAGAATCAATAGTAATCTAAGATGAATAAACATATTTATATTTGAAATGTCGTGAACAATATTAAACGCGAATATAAATTAATAACATGCAGTTATTGTCGTTTTCAAAGGTACACATACGTCAATCGAAATCTCATATATTAAAACCGTCATATTTATGGAAAAGTGCGGCGTTAAAGATCAAACAGACACATATATCTTTTCTCGTCAAGCTGTTCTTACACAATTGATATTTTCAGCACAATTATTACTTTTGTATTCGCTTATATTTGTGTCAAGTATAAATCTTCGAAAAAACTTGAAAGAAATATGCCCTTGACAGATCAAAAAGGAGGGTCACAGTGACAAGTCTGAGTACATTGGGTACATGTAACCTTATGATAGCACTGTGATATAGTTCTATTCTTCATCTGTAGCCTAGTGGTTAAAGCGTTCGCTCGTCACGCTCAAGACCCGGGTTCGATTCCCGACATGGGTACAATGTGTGAAGCCCATTTCTGGTGTCCCCCGCCTTGATATTGCTGGAATATTGCTAAAAGCGGTGTAAAGCCATACTCACTCACTCACTATTCTTGATCTACACAAAGCGTGTGTCAAACATCTGATGTCATCCACCCTTCCTACAGGTCACTTCGCCTGTAACTTGTTCTATAGGTCGTGTTCGCCTGTAATCCTCATTGTTGGTAAACAGTATGTCCACTGCAGTGCTTCGTTCATATTGGCTTTGACATTGGCTTGTGGACACTCTTGCCTCAGAACGATGATTTCAGTTTTGAAAACATGTTGTTTAATGAAACCTAACCGAAACTTAATGATCTTAGACGAGACACCTCTCACGATACATACTATAACTGCTCGAAAGATTGAACATTCAAATTGTATGCCAAATATGGTGCATTCGCCGATCCAGACGGTGTGTAGCGTGCGCAACCCTCATGTTGAAACCTGCATTTGTACATTGTAAGTTGTATCCAGGTGATGGGATTATTGGAAACAACTGTTACTCTATGACACTTTTTGAGATTTGTGTTTAAGAATAATAACACAGCCACCAGATGCAAGATTGTTATCGATGATTAACTGTTTTCATATATCACTTTGTATGTGTACTTGTGATCACGGCGCGTGGTTAGCCGGGATATTGCAGGAATATTGCTAAAAGCGGCGTAAATCCATACTCACTTACTCTGATCACAGAGTGCACTCCACCTTTTCCAAGAAGGCTATATCGACACTTACTGTGCAAAAAAACAGTCAGCGAGTAGAGATTCCGGTGCTAAATAGGGACCTAAAAGTACTTTCGTAAATGCTAGTGTTACATGTCGACTCCCAAATTAAATCAATATGTTTACCCAGAAATCTGTACGTAAAAGAACTTTGGGTGAAACCAACAAACAATCAACCAGTGGCATACAATCAGGAAATGTATTACAAAACTGAGTTTGCAAATCAATACAAATTACTGCACAGCAATTACAATGGCAGTACACAAGAGAGTGGTGGTACAATATTCAGTGGCAATACATAATATGATGGCAGTGGTCAGTATCATATACAGTGGCGAGAGAAAAAGTCAGTGATAATAATATATATTCACCCAGCGGCGACAGTGGTCAAGGTTTCGTGATTGGCGAGGCAGGGAATCGGGGATGATGAGTGATCCTCACATGAAAGCTGGTTCCAATATGATGAAATGCGTGAGAGATACCTAAACACGCTCTTGTCCCCATACATATTCTAACCAGCTACTGGAAAGTTAGTTTCATAGTGCCTCACAACATAGACCATTCACCATGTTTCGATAACATACTATAACCTCCGCGGTATACCGGAACAGAGGGTTGCACACCACACAAGCATTTAAATGTGGTAACCCCCTGACGACTGATCACTGTCAAAACGCAATGCAATGAGCGTCTATCGATTCTCAGCAGAAACAATCTATCACAGTTACAATCATTGTAAAACAATATAATACACTGCCATATAACACTAATAACTTGTTGAACGGAAGGTGCCACCCGCCTGCAGTAGAATTCAGGAGGAAAATGAAGACAGAATCAGTGTTTTCATGGACAACGGCAGTTTCAACAACGCCCGTGAACCAGGGACCGTCTCACCAAGTATGAGCAGTCTGAAGTCCACGATGCAGAATTATCTGACATATTTTAATGTCAACTTCAGACCATCTGAAACGACAGCACAAGTCATTCGGAAATCCGTTTGAGTAAGAAACCTATCCAGTACAAGGAACGGTATCGAGTACAAGTACACTGATCCAGTTCCACCTATACAGATGTCCTGGCTGCACATCATGGTCACACAAGCCGTCATATAGCTGGAATATTGCTGAGAGCAGCGTTAAACAACAAACAAACAAAAACATCATGGTCACATAAACAGAGCTTGGCCCCGTTCCACAAAGCGATCGTAGAGCTACGACTGTTATAGGCCTATGTTAAAGAATAGGAGTTACGATCAGCTCAGCGCTAAGATCACTTTGTGGAACGGGACCCTGATCTCGGCAAACTGTAATGGGTTCGTTGCATTTTTTCACAGTTAAATAGTTGATACACGCATGCTTGCCGAGAAATATCCCAGAGGCATGACATGTTCTTGAAATAGATCGCCAATACCGTCAATGCCATGGCGTGGATACCACCCTCGTTGGTCCGGTTATCATTCGTCTTGAATCGGATACACCATCACTGAGTCAGGTGCTGACTAAATAGCTCATTTGCAGACCAAAGAGTCCCGTAACTTTCTGTCAAAAGAAGTTATAAACATATAAAGTGGAAATATAAACCATTGTTGACTGTTATCATCCACATAATCTGCAAATGTAAGTATAAGAAACCTTTAGAAATACAGTACAGTACTTCCATATTCTAATTACAACAGTGCAGTTATTATACTTGAACGAGGAATTAACTGGACGGATCAACACTTAACAGTGATCTGTCTGTGGACAAGCGTCATATGCATGTATTTTTCACTCGCCTAAACTGAAAGTTAGTGTTCACCTTCAAGGTGTCCAGTCAATATGATCATACTAGTTTAACCTCTTCCTTACGACAACTGATATTTATTGATCCATCTAAATGTACACTGCCTCTGTTATTTGTTCACATTATTCAGGTTTGGTAGTGGTCGTAGTCGTATATTCATCTTTCCCTTTCTATATGTTATACGGATTCTTCCGTGCATTTCGTTGTTAACCTCACAGCTTTATCATGAAATGGCCACATAACAGGCCCTTTATATTTCTAGAGGTCACATTGCAAACAAGAAACAAGGCAGAGGTGTAATTATTTGGATCAGTAATTGAAAATATGAATCTTTTTCAATTTGACAATAACAGAAAGGTACCCGTTACATTTTAGGAGGTCATTTGAAACCAGATACTTCTTTCCACACATACGTTGAAGGAATATGAAGGTGGCATAGAATGCGTGACAAATTTTAAAACGACTGCTATATTAAAACTCAAAGCAAGTCCCCTATGAGTCCATTTCGAAAATAGTTTGCACATTTCTTGTCAGGTTCCACACTTCGTTGTGCGTCTCATGGGTACGTCAAAATCCTGTGATCGTGGGTCTGAATCCCGGTTTTTAGACTTGTCAGCACCATATCGTGCTCTAGGGTTTCACCAAAGTAGTAGTCTGAGACCTGCATCACTTCTGGATTTCCTCCCATTTTAAGCTGACACGCCATGAAATAACTGAGAATGCTCTTTAAAGAGGCGTCAAACCATATTCACTCATTCTCTTTGTCAGGCGTGTAGTCTTGGGTCTTGGTGTGTTGATTGTGTATAATTTACATGTAGGTGCCAATTTTCATATCAAATGCATGTGTTACCCTTTTGGTTGACCAAACCCTCAGAAATGTGACGTTTATTGTGTATGTCGCCATGATGGCATCAGTTCGTGGAACTATCTATCCTTTGGGATGTTTTTGCAACTTAAAATATTGCTTCATCGCTTCTAGACATGCTCTGTCGCTCGTTATGTGTGTGTGTGGGGGGGTGGGGGTGGGGGGTGGGGGGGGGGGGGGGGGGGGGTGGGGGGTGAAGAACTAAATGCTGAACAAGATACAAGAGTATCAATCAAATCAAACAAGCTGGTTTCAATTCCAGAACTGTCATGTATGAGGTCTTGAGCGGCCGCTTCCCCTACAATGACGTGCCGGTGGAGAGCCTAATATGGCAGGTGTGCAAGGGTCGACGACAGGGACTAGCCACCCTCACCTGTACTTCCGCTTTGAAGGTTGGTGGTTTGAAGACCCGTGAAGATCCGGGGTAGAAAAGGTCTTCAGCAAACCATGCTTGTCGTAAGAGGCGACTAACGTGATCGGGTGTTCAGGTTCGCTGACTTGGTTCATACATGTCATCGACCCCATTGTGTGCATTAATGTGTGCTCATGATATTAATCACTGGAGTGTCTGGTCCAGACTCGATTATTTACAAACCGCCGTCATATAGATGAAATGTTGCTGATTGCGGCGTTAAACAACAAACCAATCAATCAATCAATCAATCAATAGTAGGTTTAATTTTCGATCATAATAAATTTATATCGGGTGCATTGATAATACTTTGACTTGGCAAAATGTTATTAAAGTATATCGATATGCCCTATTGCCTGTTGATACTCAATCTGGCTGATTGTCTCCTTTTGCCAGCACCATACCCGTAAATGTCTTCATCGTTCATCACAACAACCACCACCTTCCCTTCCGAAAATAACACTCTTTGGCATATTGTTCAAAACGACGTTAAACCCAACTCGCTCACTCCTGTGAATGTCTCGGTGACTGGAGACATCTGTCTCAGTGCAAGGTGGTAGTCAGAGGCCCTGTGAATATCAAGGTGCCTGTATGTACATTATTTTACAATCTAATGATTCTGTTTGGATAAACTTTCTGTTCCAGGATTTGATAGAGGACTGCTGGGCCCATGAACCTTGCTATCGGCCAGACTTTCCAGAACTCAGTAAAGAACTACTCAAGAATGTAAGTTTGATGTACACGGACTACAAATGATGTATCCACGAAATGAACAGGAACATGTATTAGTGTGATTCGTTTGGGGTAACGTTTGTGTTTTGCGTTTGGAAAACAACACCAAGAACATATTAAACATGTCCTATCGTTTACGGTTTGACACTTGACTACAACATACACTTTTACTTCCCTACAACGATGGGCATGGGTGGACCTGTTGTCTAAGGCTCTGCAACGCTGTGCAGAGTAGCGTCCCTTGATCCCTGAAACCTGTGATCACGGGGTATAATTACTTCGGGTTTTCCTCCCACATCACACGCTGTGATATGACTGAAATACTGCTCAAAGCGGTGTGAAAGCAAACTCACTCTTTAATACGATGTCTTCGAGACCATGAGTATCTGTCATAATTGATGAGTATTGCAACACAGCCTTGCAATTGTGGGTGTTCTTGAACTTCTTCTGAGTGATATATTAGTTGCGTATAGAGACAGGTTCCGAGAAAACGTACTGTCAATAGGGAGTCTTCTAGGAGCATACAGATACGTTGTCTCAATGTATAGATAAGAATAATGGAGTTCCCGAGTTTCACCATTCTGCTTCCAACTTTCTGAAACCAAACTGAGAGAAAGGGCCAGCATATACGTGTTACCTCGAATTTGCTGCCAGAACAAAGGAGTTTCCAAAGAAATAACGCCTATTGCGACAGTGGTTCAGTTATCCACTGACCGCGTGTTCCAATCGTAGTTTATCCCCACGTATGACACATTGTTCATGAGCACACCCGTGTCTGTAGGTTTTATTGAAGTGGTCAAAGTATACTGCCTGCAGACTGTCACCCCGGAGAGCAAAAGGTCCGGGGTTCGATCCCCGGACGGGTCATACCAAAATACGTTAAACCATGATACTTGTTGTTACCCTGTCTGGCTCTCGGCATTAAGGGGCTAAAACGAGGACTGGTCGGCTCGGAGTCAGTATACTGTGTCTGAGTGGGGTATTCATGTTAAACTGCGGAATGGTATTTCAGTGGGCTATCACTATCAATCAACATCAGTCCGGACTAGTACAAGCAGACGCACGCACGCACGCACACACACACACTATTCTTGGGCACGACCTTTAACCTTATTTAACCTTACCACCTTCTCTCACCTTACCACCTTCTCTCATTGAGTCGTTGACTCATTGTTCCTTTCTCAAGAGGACTCTGTCGTAATCATGCTGTTGATCAACCTCTGAAATATTGATGCTAGCCTGTTTCCGTCAAACAAATTCAATCGTAAGCATTGGTGATAGAAGCCCTCGGGTTCTTCAATCTCATTCCCCCTAACAAGGTTCACAGCTCGGTCGTAATAATGCAGCTGCTCCCCTGCTGAAATATTGACGTGAAGCTCGTTCCGTTACATAAATTCAATCGTAAACATTCGTGATAGAAGAATTCTTCTGTTTCAGTCCCCTATGTACAAACGGCACAGCTCATCTGAGCCAGAGCGACTACACCGGACGGGCAGCTTCATGGAGAGGATATCGCCTTTCTAACACGTCCACATGATGATGTGTGCCGGCTAGTCTGACGCGGAGGTGCTGAAAACTTGTGAAAACAGAAGATGCGTTGTTGCCATTCAGTATCCAATTGCAATGAAACAGTATACAACCGAGAAGACCACTGGGGAATAGTGTTATGTTGCCTTGTTCAACGCCCAGATTCCATCGTAACATCACTGACATCATTTGTGCCAGGTTGAACTGAAGCCTTGCAATGACACCTGAGACTGTTGTCATATTACCTTGCCCATCTGTGGAGATTCAAGGTTTTAACTCGTCACTAATGGCATCATTTGTGTATTAATCATGTTATTGTTAAATGCCACCTGGTCGTGTCTAAAACCAAAGACAGGATATATGTTATAACAGGTTCTTCATTGCACACCACCAGTAGTCTGAAAGACCAATCAATTATTTCAATATTTGGAAATTTGGATATAAGACATTTATCTAACGTCAAGAGTGTTTATATATGTCCACTGAAGCTGACAAGTTAATTGTCACCTTGAAAAATAAGTGATAAAAATATTTTCCTAATTTTTCACTACTTTGTAACACTCAGCAGTCGCTATAGGGGGCTAAAACAAATATACTATATATTGAGAAATTTGAGGATCACGTTCACATTTGCTGTCATGACATGTATAAATGATAAATCTGATGGTGATGCAGGGGGTGTCTGCCATACCGTTCAGGTTCTACAACATATCCAGGCGTGCACGTTGTATTTCTTCGAAGGATTATGGATATTCTGTGGGGACATCTACTAATATATACCTGGAAAATGGTGAGCGCCCCCTGCTATTTTGGCCATGAGGTTTGAAAACCTGTCCGCTGGCACCAAATATATGGCAAAGAAACCAGAACATGTGCTATTTCCTATAAGGGTGATTCTTTGTCTATAAATAAGGACAACAATCATGCCAATTTAGAGAGTAGTATTCATGATATTTGTGGACATTTAATTGTGTGTATTTATGACAAAATTGGTACGTGACTTGCAGCACGCCCCGAACAGGTGTGGCTGCTAAGTTGTTGCGACAAAATGTCCGTAATGCCCTAACATGACTTCCCGAGGAGAGATTGCCAAAAGCGTGAAAATCTGCCACGTGCCCGGAAAACCTTGTCAACCTTCCTATGAGATGTCTGATGCGTTCCTGGGATAGTTTTGCTAGTCTCGGTGCAATGATCGTGCCAGTTCCTGTAGACTGGCTGCAGGTGGGTCCCGCTTCTGTCATTTGCGCCCGAGGATGTCCCAGATGAGCGCCAGCAAGGTCCGATATTAACTCATGGCTTGCCAATGGGCTGTTGTGATGGTGTGTACTGGCACAACTATGCTCCCTGTCGAGAAACGTGTGATCTCGCGTTGATAGCCAGAGGGTAGTTGTCAATATGTGGCACGGCGATAGCATCCAGGATTTGACGCCTGTACCTGTCACCCCTCCGGTTCCACTGCACAGTGTCCATGTCCTGTTTGCACTCATGGGACAAGCAACTCCACAGCATGACTGACCCGCCACCAAAGTTGACTGTTGGTATAATATTTCTCGGCATCTGTGCCATGTTTCTTCTCCGCCCGACCCGAATACGTCCGTCAGGGATATGCAACAAGAACCTGCTCTCGTCCGACCAGTGGATCTACCACCATGTACTCAGGTTCCCGCCAAGTCGCTCCAAACACTATGCCAGGCGGTCCCTGGCGATCTGACAGCATGGACGCTTGGCCATCCTCTTTGACCCAAACCTTCTGATTTGAGTCAAATTCTCAATATTCGTGATAACGATTGTCTTAGGGGCATCCATTTCTTCAGAAAGTTTCATTTGGCATTGGGCTGTCGCATATTGAAGAGGAGCAGCTCACGATCTTCTCTAGGCCGCCCAAATCTGGCACGGTCCTTGACATCATTCGTTTGCCGGTGTTTCTGTGCCATGTGCTGAAAGTCGAATAATGGTAACAGAGATGACATTCTTGCATTAATCATGCCTACAGTTCAGAATAATATTAAATTGTGCTTGTATTTATCTTTCGAGAGTGCCTTGGTGCACGAGCAATATGTACTTGCGTTGAGCGCCGGTATCGTTAGCAAACATTCCCACCCGTGAAGATCCGGGTTAGAATAGGTCTTCAGCAATCCATCGTTGCCTTAAAGGCAACAACGCTAGTCGAAAGAGGCAAGTGAAGGGGTCGGGTGGTCAGGCTCGCTGACGTGGTTGATGCACGTATCCAAATTGCCTGGATCGATGCTTATTATGTCAATCACTGGATTGTCTGGTCCAGAATCGATGATTTACAGACCGCCGTCATATAGCTGGAATATTGCTTAGTGCGGCGTTAAACAACAAACAAGCAAAGCAAACATTCCCAACTTATCTGTGGATAACTGTTCGTGTCTTTACCACACGGAGTTTACCAATTATATTCGCGGTCGCGCATGGGTCATTAACTTTTCAGGCGGTGCTTAACTTCCTTCCAGGAGTACATAATTAAGCGTATATACCTGAGGTCAAGCGCGGATACTTTTAAGAAAAGGAGGCGTGCATTGATCAGAGGGTCACAAGATGAATGCAAGTAATCAGACAGCTGCATTGTGTAATCTCTCAGCTTTGTTGATAAGACATTACCGAATGAGCTAGTTATGTTGTTGTGCAATAACTGTACACTTATATCCGATCACCTGTTATTCCATATGTATCTATGTTTAGTGTGCTCAGACAAGGGGGCGGATACATACGTATGATCTGTCTGCAGATACTTGCTGTGACGTATCTAAGGAAAACTTTGGCCTACCTGTTCTCATCGTTGGGTGCTCTTTGCATGAGATTGTTTCAGATGTGCTTGTGACGTATCGACATCGTGCGTATGCATGAGATTATTTAGCTGAACTAAACACACCCAGGGTATTTTAAGGAAAGTTATGAGATCCATGTGAAAGTGATTTCGGGCATTATTGCAAAATCATGATTTTCAAACTGCGTCAGTCTGTTGTGATCTGATGTGATGTTGCATGTTTTGGAATGGTAAAACAAGTTTTAAAGCACTTTTATATACAGATTAATGATTCCATGTCATACTTCGCCTTGTGCACAGGATTCCGTGGATTGTGTTTTGATAAACAGCGTTTGCCCCCTCTGTAATTACTTTCGATATGAACGCCATGGCAGCCATATTGCATACCATGTACTTACAAGCTATTGTATTTGAATGGAGTCTGGTATTAGTCACCATGGCTTTTTGATGCGACAAACAGCAAGAGTGAAATGCATAGTCAGAATTTTGATGACGTGGATCTCATGTCAATTTATTGCAAAAGCATGTACAGGTTAAAAAAACACACACACAAAGGTCAACTTGATATGAGTGATCCTTTTAGAGAATTGGTGGGATTACCACCGAATATCCATGCTAATATACATTAATTATACGTATCTGGGTCTGTTGTGCTTTCTCTTGGAGAGTTATTTGAACGATCCTGTGCGTAAATAAGATATCTTGTTAAGTGATCGTACCTAAAGCTGAACGTAAACCATATGTGATCTGTGACAAACAGGAGCATTCTGTTTTTCATAATACAGCTAGTGGACACTTGTTGGACCATAGCACACTGGCAAATATCAGATACAATTTGCCTCACGTTGTGCGTGGTGATGTTCCTCGCCTGTTTGATCCTGTTGGCAATACGTCTATATAACCACCATCGACCTGCTGTGGTTCCCGTATTCGAATAATGTACTTTGAAAAGTGTGTGTGTTATTTGAAGCTGTACTTTCCAAATGCTTAATGCTATTGTCATGTGGTGTTATTTATTAAATGATATGCCAGAATTCTCTGGCACTTACAATCAACTCTTGTTTCGCTTTTCATTGACCAGGAGGCTGTGATTAGAACTCGCCATTGGTTCTTGTGTAAAACTAGCATTCTGATTTATTCGGAGCTGAGGTAGTTTGGCAGATCAACGTCCCATGACGTCGAGGTCACAGCGCCTGATCACCCTCCTTTAGTCTGCTCTTTCCACGACCACTGGTACTGGGGATCTGACCCATGAAGATCCGGGTTAGAATAGGTCCTCAGCAACCTATGCTTGTCGTAAGAGGCGACAAACAACAGGATTGTGTAGTCTGTCTCGCTGACTTGGTTGTCATCGTATCCCAATTACGTGGATCGACGTTCATGTCAATCACTAGATTGTCTGGTCCAGACTTGATTATTAGCAGACCGCCGTCATATAGCTGAAATATTGCTGAGTGCGGCGTTAAACAACAAACTGGGGATATATTATGTCCCCACCCAAGAAAGACAAGCTATAAGTTCATAGGACTGAAAGTGTCACGATGTCCTGGTTGTAGTGTACGTATATATGTGAGAGGTATTATAGTTCCTGCATTATAATATAATGATTAATCCCTGACACTTCCGCCATGTGAGGACATTAAAGGAACCGTATGGTTATCTCGACCTTTAATGGCGTCTTGTCATCTGTGTTCGATCACGTAGAAGGTATCAAGTTCAGTCCTGCCTGTTGAGTACTCCAGTTTTCCGACGAGGACGACGAAGCGACGTTATTCCATTCTCAAAAGCACTACTTTGACTTTTCATACGAACACTGTTTAGTTGAGACGAGCAACAAGTAGCGCTTCAGTTCAGGCAAGCACTGAGTCGTCCTGCATAGTTTCAGAGAGCACGAAGGAGCTAATTGGGGCTCTCCTCGGGAGATTGTGTTTACTTTGGGGATTTGAGCGTATAATTGGTCACCAGTACCTAAAGTAACAGGCGACTCCAATGGTTAAAGATGCAAAACATATTTACTGAAGTTAGCAGTACATTACCTTGTCGTGTGTCCCGATATTTAAATGCCAATGCGCAAGGGAATAGATATTAGTTAGCACAACACCAATGTTAAAAAACCGGTAATGACATCATATGTCTTTATGAAAAACGACGAAGTCAAACTCTCAAACTGCCAGGTAAAATTACAGATTTACAAGAAAGATTGATAACGCTACGACCATAACCGCAGTCACCAACAGGAATCCTGACACGCCAATGATTGCTTTTGTCTTCTGGAGTGTTTGCCAGCAATGATCTGGATATATGTCACCACAGTCAAGAGCCCTGCATCATGGTACGATGCATCAATTATTCGCTTATTGCGTGTCCCAAGCGAGAGATGAAATATAGCTTTACACTGACGAAGTGATTTATCTTTTGATTGCCACCTTGATTGCCAAAGGGTCAGTCGGGTCACCGGTTCCTCCTCAGCTCCGATGCAATCCAAGTGTCTCTGAGAGTGTAAACTTGCTTTCAGAAACGGCGATTTCCAACGTACATTGTAGGTAGTTCTCCCAACACTATACCGACCTCGTGATCACTTTCGTCAATCCCCCATGGGGAATCCCGGTTAAACTGGTCCCGAGCACAACATATGCGGCTAAATGGATTGTGGGAATGCTCGGTGACCTGGTTGATAACGCTACTCTCATCTCACACCCATGACCCATTGGAATTGGTCTTAACAACCCATGCTTGTCGTAAGAGGCGACTAACGGGATTGTGTGGTCTGGCTCGCTGACTTGGTTGATGCATATCATCGTATCCCAGTTGCATAGATCGATGCTCATGATGTCAATCCCTGGGTTGTCTGGTCCAGGTTCGATTATATACAGACCGATGTCATATAGATGGAATATTGTTGTGAGCGGCGTTAAACTACAAAGTTTAACAAACATACTTTCGTCAGTAACTTTTCAGCCGCAACTAATAAGCATTGCTCTTTCACTGAAGTACCGTTTAGGATGGTGGTGATTGTGGTGGTGGTTTCTAAATAAACAATCAAACCCCACTTTTACTGATGTTTTTTTACATATGCCCTCGCATTCAAGGAAAGAATACAATATGTCCTTCCTTGCAGACAATTGTCCAAAGACAACAGTTTGTTATTATTATTTATTAAAATATAATAATTGAACACCTATATATGTTGGAAAAGAACTGAGCTTACATTTAAAAAAATGATGACAAACCAAAATCTAGGCCCCCAACTGAAAATCAAATGGTTGCTCCCTAAGACAAACGCGGAAAATCACTTAAAGTCACAATTGGATAACATTTCGATCGCTTCCCGTACATTCCAAGAAAAGTTTTTCTTCACGCAACCTTTAAACAACCACCACTCCTGTTACATCCCAACTCGTGAGTATATAAAAGAATTAACCCAATTACTCCGAGACTAAGGGAGATAGATTTCTCCCTTTTTAGGTACCCAGACCATAGACTTTGTTTAATTCGACATTACAAACAACTCCCATGTTCCGGACTTGTACCGAAGTTGATAGGCTAATGAAGATTGTCGTCTTACTCGATCATCTAAATCGCGGCGCGTTGGATGCATCTCTTTAAGTGTCTTAAATTGGCGGATAAATCACCCTGTGCTGAGAGGCATTGGAAGCAGATCGAAGTCGTGATGTGTGTTTCAGGTGTCGAACGCTATGCAATTTCTACGACCGGGATGCAGTTTCTATGGACCGGGAACGAAATTGGGTAATTGCAGACGGTGTGGTATTTCGGAAATATACCGAGATGGTATTTTACCGTTATGCATCACAAGGTCGTTACGACCTAAATTTCGTTAAGCGATGCAATATCTAGGATGTATCGACCAAGCGCAAGAAATATAAGTCACGTTGAACTAAGTTGAGCTTTTCTTTTTCGATTCCATCATTATTTATATATTATGTTAAATATACTACTCAAAAGACTTTAAGAACATCGGATTCTTTCTTATTACTTACTTCCCAAGGCAAGGAATTTAACTGGCTATAAAAGTCCAGTGTCCTCCCTTGGCGAACTAGGCTGGAAGTATGGAGTAGCAATTAGACTTGACACACGAGTCTATGCATAGTCCAGTCAAAATCGCGTAACGAAATCGACCTTCGGTTCATAAACAACATGGCAGATTTCGGTCGATTGCATGATTTTCGACAGATATTTTCCAAACTTTTCATATTTTTAATCAAAGTGGTCAAGTGATTTGATGTACTTCGCGAGGTAAGACACATCTTATTGCAATAAACACCTTGATTGTCGATCAGATCGCCTGACTTGGCGCTTCCATTTTGTTTGAAGCAAATGCAAGTGATATGAGAGGTGGAATCCGATTGGTCAATAGGAAAGACCAGACGGGAAAAAACATGGAAGATGTTTCAATGCGGATCGGATGAGCAATATGGTTGAGTGAAGAGAAGGAGCTAAGCGATAACCTCACTCACCCAACCCACCCACTCACCCCTCATTCACTCACCAAAGCCCATCCACTCGACCCGTGAAGATCCGGGCTAGAATAGGTCTGCAGCAACCCATGTTTGCTGTAAGAGGCGAATATGCTTGTCGTAAGAGGCGACTGGCGGGACTGGGTGGTCAGACTCGCTGACTTGGTTGATGCCTGTCATCGTATCCCAATTGCGTGGATCGATGCTCGTGATGTCAATCACTGGATTGCCTGGTCCAGACTTGATTATTTACAGACCGTCGCCATATACCTGGAGTATTGCTGAGTGCGGCGTTAAACAACCACCCAACCACCCGACTGACACATTCATTCACTAAAACCCACTCACTCACTCCAGACGCTGACGATACGACATTGCAGGGGGATCACATACAGATATACATACAAATCATAACTCATGAATGTATGTCATCAATAAGTGTGTAATGAAAGATTACTAAATAACTAATAGTATCTACGGCTCGCATTTATGGTTTATTTATGGATTCTTCATGGTTATGAACGCGATGCTCAATATCACAGTCATTAACGATCACATGTACACACTTCAGGATTTTATTGAGAATTGCAAGGTTCATTAACTTCAGCAAAGCCGGCGACGTGGGCGTGCGTATCTGCATGCAGCACGACGATGTAATATTCAATGTTGATCAAATACGATTCTTATCCTGTTTAGCATGGTTTAGGATTATATGATACATTAACAATGTGACCGACGTCATGTTCTGAAGCGTGCAACATCATGCACGACATGCGCTGCATATTGACATCTTGGCCGACGACGACCAAGTCCACGTCCTATTGTTTTAGCAGATAGTGGGACATTGATCCCTCTGAAGCCTGTCCTCACGATGTTGACTCAGATAATGGACTCGGCTTCGCCGAAATTATCGCATTTGCAATCTCTCACTTGTTTGTCCACGGCGGATGATTGCACGAAGATGGCAGAGGCAGATTACTTCTGATCACATTTACTGCTGCGGTGAAAATCATGTCATAACATTTACATTATCGGAACTCAATAACCCAAGCACGTAAAACAATATATCTGACCTTCACATCCTCAGGCATCGTAGGCATGAGATGGGTTTTACGCGGTCCATAGTGCACCACCATAGCTGGGGGCAGGGATGGCACAGTCGTCTAGGGCGCCACAATTCGCTGTGCAGAGTTGCGTCCCTTGTGCGCGCCAGAAACCTATGTTCGTGGGTTCGAATCCGATTCGTCTCGATTATGTTTCTAGGTTTGTCAGCACCATACCCGCGCTCGTGGGATTCTCCGAAGTTGTTTACGTCTAAGACCTGCATCACTTTGGCCTTTCTTCCCGACATCAACCTGACACTCCGTCATATAACTGGAATAATGTTCAAAGCGGCGTTAAACCCCACTCACTCACTCACTAACTCTACCACAGTTGGTTGAGCTTAACGGCGCCACTGTGAAGCAATTTATTGATGTTGTGTATTGAAATGAATCGAATGAATAGAGTTGAAGTCACTGTGCAGAGATCCGTCCCTTGGGCACACCAGACACCTATGATTGGTTCGAATCCCTGTTCCT